GTCTGGTGCAAAATTGAAGTTGGGATCTCCATATTTTCATGAACCAATGTGGTTAGAATTAATTAGTGTGGTTATATTATAATTTTCGTTATCGTTGCCTTTATATTTTATGAATGAGTTAGAAAATATACATGTTATGTAATAAAAAATATATATTATATATAATACATACCATACACATGTATTATATTATTTTATATTATATAGTCTATGACAAAATATGTTTGAAATTCAAATTTTTAAATAATTAATTAGCTTTCCAAATACGCTTCTCGCATCATTCGAGAATTAGTGACTAGCGTCCTAAATTAGAAATTATTATAATGTGGTCCCGACCAATAAGTAGCGAACAATACTTACTACTCACCGGTGAGTAGGTGCCCTCTCCTGACTGCTGAGGTGGTTAAACCATAAATGCACACATTGTCTTTAATTATAGAATTAGAAAAGTAAAAAAAAAAAAACTATTTTATTTCCGGTAATCACATTTTGTGTTTACCTATCTTCCATGTTTTACTTATTTATTTTTCTTAATTTTTTTAATTAAAAACTATGTGTGCATTTGTGATTGGAGTCATAGACCATATCACAGGTCAGGAGAGAGTACCTACTCACTATTGTGTAAATAACTATTGTCCATAAGTAGCTGGCACACAAATAAATGTCTCAACTTTATTCCCGATTTTATTTGCATGTCAACTAGTAATTGGTTAGGACCACATGGTCCCAGAATATGTAATAATTTCTCCTTCCTAAGTGTATACTGACGAGTGACTAGAGAGTTCTCTTTTGTATTTATATATTTGCCTTTGCCCCTCTCTTTCTCTCTCACAGGTCACATCCCTTTGATTCCTCTCGAGTTCTCAATCAAGGTTGAAGCTTATGTGGTCTGTTGAATCCACAGGCCACAAAAGACGCCGGTGGTGACCTTTTACAGTTGAGTTTTTTTACTATTTTTCTCTCTAAGTCTCTCATTCTATCTCTTTCTTTTTCTCTCTCTCAATGCTAATTTTCTCTACTAATTAATTTAGGGTTTAAATTTCTTTTTAAATTTTAAGTTTCAAAAAAGGTTGCATGTTTATTTATCCATTCAAGTTTTGTTCATTTATTGTTCCATTAGTATTGAATGGTCTGAGAAACAATTGGATTAGGGCTTTGACTCTGTTAGAAAAGTTTGAAGTTGTAGCAAATTTTGTTTTCATAATTTTTATTACCAAAGTTTGCTAATTAATCTACTTTTTTTTTTTTTTTTTTTTTTTTTCTATTCATACCAGGGACGGATCTAGGAATTCATATTTTTTGGGGGAGGGGGGGGGGGGAATTTATATAGAGGGGTTTTATATATTTATTTATTTATAATTAAATTTAGGGGTATAAAAGGAAATAATAAAAAATTTCATTCTCCCCCATTGAGCCCTTCAGAGATGCGTGCTTGATCGATACCTTAGGCTTTGGTTTCACAAAAATTTATAGTAATAGCTATAATACCAATATATATATATATATATATATATATATATATATATATATATATATATAGTACATTCAAATCCAATAAAAATTCTAGTGAAAATTGTGGTTTATTCTACATTCATTAAGTTATTGAGTGAATTGTATGTATTTATTATCATATTGAATTTCTTTATTATCTTCATAATCTTTTGTTTCTAAATTTTAATCTAGTATTTTATCAGACTAAAAATGTTTGTGAGACAATGAGTTATTGAGTAAATTGGAAGAATGGATTCAATCTATTACAACAAAAAAATAGTTAGGATCGCACACAAAATATTGGTAAATAGAACAAATAAAAGTATACACAAACAAGACAAGATTTACGTGGTTCAATAAATTGCCTTTTTCCACGAGCAAAGAATAGCTATCTTTACTTCAATACTTGATTACGTACACATTCATTCCCATAAACTTAACTCATTTTCCCTCTTTACAATTATATCTTTCTCTTTTTATCTCTACAATTTTTTTTTCCTCAACATCACCTTTATTTATAGAGTCATCAACCCATTCCTCGTTGGACCAAAATTCCGCAACCAACTTGCTTATAAGGAGTTACCATGTCAATTTTCAACTCTAAAATAATAGCTTGACGAAATCACCATTCTGGAGCTCACTATAAAAAATGAACAGGTTCCAACAAAAGATTAACATGTTCAGGCTTACAATCACGTTAAACAGGTTCAAAGAAAATTTGAACATATCCAACTATAATACTGCATACACACCTAATTCGAGCCACACAACCCAAAAATCTCCACCTTAGCTCAAAATTTGACTTCACATGCTCCTCAACAACTCCACATCGAACAAAGATCTTCATACCTTGAACCTAACATCTTCTTTCTTCTCCTTGTTCTTTGCCTCCACCATACTCATCCTTCCTAGCAAATTCCACGTTCAAATAATTGAACCTGTAATCTACTTTCGTATCACCAAATCGAACTCTTCCTCCTTTTGGGACAAAGGTTGGTGTTTTTTAAATTGCCAAGACTTCTTCCTTCTTTTGCTGCTCTTGATCATTTACTGTAGTTGATCTCGAAACAGGCTTTCATTCTGTCTTTGCAATTGTTCCACCAAACACCTAATAAAATATAAAGGTTATTGATTTTCCTTCCTAAAAGCATAACACGTGGCCCTCTTATAATCTTCATTAATTCATTCTTCACTTCACACTAACTACCTTTGAAATCCAATGTTTCCACAAAGATCACGTTTCTTTTAACACTTAAAATATGATGTACATTCGTTAGGGTTCTTACTAAACCATTTGTTATCTTGATTTTGATTGTTTCAATTCCTATAACATCACAAGAAGCATTATTCCCCATAAGTACCTTACCACCTACAGGTTTGTAGGTAGTAAACCACTTTTATAAGGACACACATGAAAGGAACAAGTAGAATGAAATATCCACTCCTTAGTTTATCCATTATTATCAATGATTGATAGTGCGTACATTATCACTCCCTTTTACATAGTCTCAATCACAACAAGAGTAACGAATGCACTCTCCCTTCTTTCTTTTCTGGATAATATTACTAAATATGCCCCTTTCTCCTACACTTGTATCATTTTTTGTCTGACAATAACACAAGGCTTCTTGAAGCTCCAAACCTTTTATTATCTTAAGCAATTGGAGCTTGTGCCTAGTCATCTTGACTCACTTCATCATTCAACTTTTTATTGGTGAACAAAACACTCTTTACTTGTTCCATCAAGTGGGTATCTCTCCCATAAAGCAAAGTATTAAACAAATGCTTTTGGGTAGAAATTACCAATGTTAACAAAATAATTGTTTTATCATCATCTCTTAACTTGACATTAACATAAGATAAATCACAAGTAACCTTATTGAACTCACCAAGATGTTCTTGCAACTTACACCTTATTTTCTCCGGAAGGAATACAACTCTTGCTTCAAGGCTAACTTGTTAATGAGATTATTTTCTATATATAGATTCTCTAACATTCCATATATCTGCTGTTGAAACTTCTTATATCACATCATACACAACATCATTCGTAAAAATCAATCTAATTAGTTTATCTTTCCCTATTCTGCGTCTTCCATATTTTTTGGTTTCATGCCCAAAACCTCTCATAGCCCATGCTGAATTAGTAAATCCCGCATCTGAACTTGCTAAAGACTGAAAGTTCCTTCTTCCATCAAACTTCTCGACCACGTACTTTCCATTTGTAATAGTTGACACCATAGCGCTGATACCAGTTGTTAGGATCACACACACACTATTAGCAAATAGAACAGATAAAAGCACACACACAAACAAAATGTGATTTACATGGTTTGGCAAATTGCCTTCGTCACCCTATTGACAAATAGAATAGATAAAAGCACACACACAAACAAGATGTGATTTACATGGTTCGGCAAATTGCTTTCGTCACCCTATTGGCAAATAGAACTGATAAAAACGCACACACAAACAAGATGTGATTTACATGGTTCGGCAAATTGCCAACGTCCATGGGTGACGAACAAATAGCTCTACTTTGATTAGACACTCTTTGTTATAAACTCAACTCACTTTCTCTCTCTACAATTATATCTTTCTCTATCTACATTTTTCTCTTCTCAACCTCACCTCTGTTTATAGAGTCTTTAACCCATTCTTCGTTTGACAAGAATTTCCCTAGTTGCCTACAAGGAGTTACCATATCAGTCTTCAACTCTAAAATAACAACTTACAAAATCACCATTCTAAAACTCACTACCAAAAATGAACAGGCTCTACAAAAGATGAATAGGCTCAATTGGGGTTACAATCACTTTTGACAGTCTCAAAGAAAACTTGAACAGGTCTAACGTCTAACTTCACAAGAACACCGTATACACACCTAATTTGAGCTAAACCCCAGCCCCCCCCACCCCAAAAAAAAAAAAAAAAAAAAAAAAAAAAAAAAAAAATGATAAAACTAAAGTATATAACTTCCATTATCCATCTGTTTGTTCAATTTTTATTTTTATTTTTTCTGGGTATCCACCACAGTTTAATGATAATATATAGTTGACATTTATTAATGAGACAAAACTTCTCATTTTCACATACATCACCCGGTAGATTAATAGAAGATGGCCAAACTCTTTAGCCAATTTTAATTGGATCAATTTTTTAAAAAAAATGATACATCCTTTTGAATTTGGTGGATGTCAACTTGGTGTTATAAATGAGAATTTGGGCCCTACCACACGACGTCACTTTGACATCATGTGATGATACTATACCCGAACTCACATATTACCTATTTAGCATCTATACTATTTAGCTATCCATTGGATACCATATTGACTGTAGGGGTTGTTTTGTTATATATAGGCATATAACTCTACAAGTTCATCACATTGTTCATTACCATCTTTTCAGCATTTGATCATATTTGTTCCCTTTGGTAGGAAAGGAAACATGACAAAAGTGAGGCCTGTTGTTTATAAACGTCGGAAGCATTTTAAGAAAGTGGTAAGTGGGGAGAAATGAAGACAGAATTAGCAACTTACCAAGCAGTCTTATGGCCCATATCCTCTCTTTCCTTCCAACAAAAGATGCAGTGGCAACTGGTATATTATCAACCAAATGGAAGTATACGTGGACTACAATCACTAATCTGGACTTCGATGATGAGTTGCTACTCGAATCCATAAATCTTCAAAAGTGTACCAAACGAAAACTTCGTGTAGTAGAAATGAGCTTCATAAATTTTGTCAACCGAGTTCTCTTGCGCAATTTAACAGATTTGCATACATTCCGCCTGAGATGTACTCGGAGTTATGATGTTTCAAATCTTAATTTTTTTATTTCTACTGCATTAGCTCGTAATCTCCGAGAACTTCATCTTTTCTTGGAAATGGAAGGCTACAATGGGCTGCCTCGCGAGATTTTTACTTGCACAAGTCTCGTTGCAATTGAACTGGTTGGTAGATTTGTTCTTAATGTCCCTACTTTGGTTCGTCTGCAGAATCTCAAAACACTCGTAATGAAAACACTTGAATTTTCGGATGATGACTCAATTAATAGACTCTTGTCTGGCTGCCCTCTGCTTGAAGAGTTTTCCATAAGAAGTAGTGATTTAAAAAATATTAGTGTGTTTCACATTTCTGCTCCCGCTCTCAAGAGTTTAGTTCTAAATTGTTGGTCTATGGGTGGCTACAAGTTTGTACTAAATACACCAAATCTTCAAGATCTTCAATACCATGACTACATAGCAGAAGGCTATTCAATGAATAAATTAAATGCCCTTGTCAATGCCGACATTGGTTTTGTATCAAGAGGTCACCATGTCCCTGAAAAACTTGTAGCAGAATTTGTTTAAGGAATATCTAATGCTAAATGGCTTCATTTATCTGAATATCCAATAAAGGTCAGATTGCTCACCTTTGTTCGTTTATTTATGATGATTTCTTCTATTTTTCTTTATACCCAAATGTACTTTTTGAACTATTAATTGGTGGCTTGTTTCCATTTTTAATTGACTTCGTTTTCTTTTTGCATGAAGGCCCTTCAGTTGTGCAGGTTTCCGCTGCCAAAGTTTGGGCATTTGACACGTTTGGAGATTGGTGGTTACTCTCTAATGTTACATAGAAATTGCTACTCAAGTTTCTGGAAGCTCGCCACAACTGAAAATGCTTATTTTTGGGGTAAAGCACTAAGGCTCCAGTTTGATTAATTTACTAATGCAATTAAATGAGAGTTGTTAATATTTATAGTTCTCTCTTTTTATTAGGGACTCCAAGATAATTGGTATCCACTTCACATCGTGCCTTCTTGTTTGTTGTTTCGCCTAAAAGAGATTGAAATTATGTGGTTTAAAGGGGAAAGTAACGAGCTGAAAAACATGACAGAGTATTTGTTGAAGAATTAAAAAGTTCTAGAGAAACTGAAGATTCGTCGTCCTTCCATTGATGGAAATTCGTATGTGATTAACATTGTACGAATGTTACCTAGAGGCTCTGAGAAATGTCGAGTCGTGGTTTTTTGATATTTTCTTTTATGCTCCATTTGGTAGGATGAAAAAAAATGGGAGAAAAATAGATGAAAGAGACATTCATATGAAATTTTTTTTGTCATTTCTTCTTTTTGTTTGGTTGAATAGAAGAGAAGATAAAAAAATATATTACCTTATTTTGTTTGTTAGGAGAGAAGAAAAGAGATAGAGTGTTAATTATGAGGAAAGTTTTTAATTGTTGTAATTAAAAACTTTTATAATAGTCTTACTTTTTATAGTAGTGTATTTTCTTGCATATTTGGAGGTCTGAAAATTTGTGAAGTAAGAAGGATGACTGTGATTAACCAACTATGGTCTCTGGTTGTTTTCCTTTTTGCTTCTCTTATTAAGTTTAAGTAGTAAAGTCGACCGGTTCCTGTTTCTTCCCGGTTTTCATTTCCTTCCCTCTCTTGTCCAAATCGGACCCATTTTAAAATACCATGGTGTACTATAAAGCTTAGTATGATGTGCTAATTACATTTGAACATTAGAAATGACCGTAATGCAATTAGATGATCTCGGGTTCGGTTAAAGACCCGGATAATAATCTAGACCCTCGGGTTTGGGTTGTTACACTCCTGTTGCTGTGATTCTCCCTTGGTGGGTTCCGTTGCAGAGCTTTGGCTCTCTTTTTCAACAAATCTAAAGCATGTTTAACATTTTTTCTTGTATTGTTTCAAGATTTGTATGTCTTTTTTTGGCTTGACTTTTGTCCCTATACTGTTATTGATGGCTTGGCCTTTGTGCCTTTGCAATGATATATAAATAAATAAATAAAAGCTTTGTCGGTCTTCAATTAAAGTTCTTTTTTATTTTAAATTTTTTCAGGTTTACCACGTTAGAAATCGGACATGGCTTGATTCGGAGCTAGTTCGGGACAAAAGATATCGGTGTATTTTACTCTTAATTGTTTTTTCGCGGCTTCGTTTGGATTCAGTGATTTGGAGGGATTTGAAAAAAAAAAAAAATGGATTTTGAAAATCATGTTTAGGTAGCTTTTAATGATGCGAAAAGAAAGGATTGGGAGAGAAATCCCTCTTTTGCCATCTCCCAAAAATGAGAAGATTTTGAGGGAAATATGAATAGAAGTTATTGATATCATTTCTTTTCTTTTATCTTATAACTAATGATATTCTTTATTTTCTTTTCTCTCATATTTATCCAAACAAAGCCGTAGTGAATAGTAAAAATGTAATACTCACACCGAAAACTTGCAATGAATTGCCTCATTCAATAATTTTTAGGGTTAAGTGCACTAAACCCCCCTAAACTTTCTTCTCTTTCTCAATAAACCCCCTTGAACTATCATTTTGACACTTAACCCCCTAAACTATTATATTTGTTGCAAAAAAATTCAAAACCGTTAGTTTTTTGTTTCTATTTAACGTTAAGTACAAAACGTGACCCATGTGGCTTAACCAAATTTTAGGATACAAAAATTACCCTTGTAACAGTATTTTTTTTTTTTGACGCACCGTCATGACAATTAGACCTTTACATATATACACATTATTATACATTGAACCAAAATCCCCAACTTAATTTTGACAAACAAATCCCTAACTGGTTTTTCTCTCTCCAAAATTTTAACTTTTGATCCAAACCCAAATCAATTATTGAAAATTTCTACAAGTGATTGTGAATATGAAAAGAAATCCTAAATTTGTGATTTCGGAATTATATTGAAAAATGGGTGGCGATGAGAAGATGAGTGAATATAAAAAAAGGCGGCATGCTGGAGACAAAGACAAGGGTGTCGAAGTGGGTGGTGGTTTGCTGAGCGCTAATGATTTGACTCCTCTTACTCAAAAACTGATGCCCCAAAGCCTTTGCTTCCATCCTTCCATCTTCCCTCAAGAATGGGTCACAGAGGAATGAGAATATTTTATTGGGTATTTTTAGGGAGAGGGTCAGCTTGAGGACGTAATATATATGTAATACACACATATAATATATACACCATACTATACATGCAATTGATGAATGTTGAAAATTGATGCAATTGACTAATGTTGAGGGCTCGGTACGCTAAAAAAACCATTGTTGATGCTAAAATCGGTTCCTTAGATCCGATTTGGAATTGATATAGTGCGGGTATGCCAGAACCAATTGTATGGTTCTAGTGTAAATAGTCAACTTCAGTCCTTTTGAGAAGGTTGACTTTTAGACGATGCGAGGAAAAAAGAAAAAAGTAAAACTCCTCTTTGAGTTCAAGAATTGCCTTAATTAAAAGGACTTTACAATGAATAATTTATACTAACAATAGAGAGAATAGAAAGGGGAGAGAAATAGATATGGAAATAAATAGAGAGAGATATAGATAGAGAGAACGAGATATTGAGAGAAATAGAGAACAAGAGAGAAAGGTAGAAATAGCAAGGATGGTATTCTAGGAAAGGTTTGAGAAAACAAACAAAGAAATTAAAAGGTTATGAAGGTGCTTGTGATGCCTGTGATACCCTCTAATTTCGGAACATAGGTTGATCAAATCCGCGTACAAAATTAAGGGATATCAAAACAATTAAAGTATTTCAAACAAGCACAGAATACAAAATGAAATAAAAGAATAAATAATACGCCGAAGAAAAACTAATAAACAAAAATTTCCATTAATAACTCTCCAATGGTTATAACTCGAGAATCCCGTAATTGAAGGACCCTTTAACCAAAATCCACTATCCATAAATTCAATTATACATACTGAAGTAATAATATCCCACTTTGAAATAAAATAGAAAGAATGGATAAGTTCTCTAATTGCGGATCCTCAACCTTGAGACTTGAACTTCTAATAACCTGAAAAACAAATCGCGGGTTAAACCCTTCGAGCAAGTTCTTTCTACAAGTCCTCTTAAAACCAATAAAAAGATTATCTCTGACCAAAGTTAATCCTAATAAAGTCTTTGTCTTTAATGTACATAATTATATACAATATAACAATCACAACTATTACTAGGTTCATTAATTCCAAAACCATTATTAATGATTAATTAATAATCATACCTAGACCAATCCACAATTTCTTTTAAAGAAACTCCTCTAACCTTAACTCCATTCTAGACAGCAAGTTAATAATTTAAACCATAAAATATAATTAAAAGAACATTATATTTAATTCCAAAACCAATAATGATTTTAAGTATTTAAATTACACCGCCAATATCTAGACTTTGACAAGTCATCCATGTCACTACCAATATTATTTTATTAATATGTATAAAATAATATACTAACCTATAAGTACTAAACTATTCTACTTTAAGAATATCTAATCCTAATTCAACTTATACAAACAATAACCATAGATGATATATTTTAATCATCTAACACACAACAATATAATCACACTTTGGCAAATCAGCCATGCCATTATAAATATATTTATTTATATATCAGCAACTCAACTATGCTTCTTTAAGTATGTTTATTTATACATTGGCAATTCAACTATGCCTCTTTAAGTATATTTATTTATACATTGGCAATTCAACTATGCCTCCACAAGTATATTTATTTATACTTTTAATTAGCAACTCATCCATACTTCTCATGTATGTATTCTATTCATACAAATATTTAGGTAATATATTATATCCTTTGGCAATTCATCGATGCCTACACTTTAACCATGAATCAACTTTAAACTTAACAATACACTAAATCATACATAGCCATCTTATACATATTATACGCATATCATTAATTTAATAATCAACCTATCAAGATATACCAAATAAGAATGATAATATTAATCATCTTAAATGATATATATATATATATATACATACACATATATCATACAATATATATATGTATATTACCTTCCATAATAATTCTTAATTATTTAAAACATATACATATATATATATATATATATATATATATATATATATATAATCTTCCCTCCAAACTAATCACATATTAGTTAATTCATATATATACATATATAAAATAAATAAATATATATATATATATATGTACACTTCCTTTCATAACTAATATATTAATTAATTATAATTACGCTAATTAAATGCAACTAATTATCGTAGTAGCATCCTATATCAAACACCTAAAATACATCCTCTAATAATTACTTTCAACATTTATAAACTTGAAATCAACTCTGGGACATTACCGGACTCCACAGTAACTTTCTGGAACCCCAAACACGTTCACACGCGCCCCCACGCGTAGCCAAATGTTCCTACACTTGCTACACACGCTTCCACACGTAACCACAAATAGCCACGTGGTTTCACGCGCCCATACGCGCTCTCACGCGCTGACCACGCGCCTGATTATTCCTCTGGCTGACGTAGCATCTTCTA